CTGCCAAAAAGCGTCATGTAATCCTGATGCCAAGAACCCCGGGAGTGACGCAATTCACTTTCCCTCTCTAGGTACCAACTTCCTCTCTCTAAAGGAAACTGAAGCCACTGGGGTTAGCTCAGTTGATAGAGTGGTTTCCTAACAACATACACAAATCCTTGGGTTCAATCCCCAGCATACATAATGTACCAGGTGATGTTACATACCTAGAATCCTAGCACTTGGGGTGGAGTCAGGAGTTCAAGGTAGACTGGGCTACAACAGACTTGTCTCAAAAAAGGAAATTAGAGCTGGATTTGGTGGCATACACCTGTAATCCTATCATTCAGGAGGCATAGTGAAGATGATCCTAAGGCTAGCCGGGGCTACTTATCTGAACTTAAAGGGGGGTAGCCAAGGAGAGGGGCTCAGGGACTGAGAGGACACGCAGTTCTCGCAGACGACCAGAACTCAAGTCCCAGCACCCACATTAGGCAGCTCACAACTACCTGCAACTCCAGCTCCAGGGGATCCAACACCTCGTGACTTGCATGAACACCTGCACTCATGTGTACCCCACACACATATAAACATGATTACAAATAATAAAAATAAATACTTTTAAAAAGCAAACTGGACCAGTCACTATGAAACCCCCTCCCTGATATCACACCCCAGGCTCAGGAGTACCATGCCCAGGATGAGACAGGACACATGAGCAGGCACAGGATGAATACACCAAGAAAGACCCCGAGTCTGGCTTAGGTTTCCAATTGACACTTAAGGCTTGAGTCTAACTGGGGCAAGCACAACTGAAGTGTTGGAGGGTTAACTGTGAAGGCCAGTGTTTCCCTCCAAAGATTTCCTATCACGCTATAGCTATAGATACCGGAAATCATGACATGCATCAGTGAACTGCTTTGCAAACAGGCTGCAAAGAATATAATCTTTGTTCTTGACATAAATGGCTGTGAAGAAGCTGACTTAAAAATACACTTAAACTGAGTATCATGAGGCACGGTAGTTAATGCTAGCACTCCCAGAACTAAGGCATGAGGATGGAGAGTTCCAGGCCTGCCTGGGTTACAATAGAGAGACCCCGACACAGAGAGAGACAGACTGAGAGTGATTAAGTGACAAGCATATTTATCATTGATATGTGCTTAAAATTCAAATATTACTATTTTATAATTCCACTCGCTTAAACAGCTGAAAGAAAGAGTCATGGGCCTGGCTATATTGGTCTATAAACTCAGTTACTCAGGAGGCTGAGGCAAGAAGATTCCAAGTTCAAGGCCTGCCTGGGCTACTATGGAAGTTCAAGACCAGCCTGGAGAACCTAGCAAAACTCAATAATGAAAACGAAAGGGTTCTGGGAATACAGATCAGCAGTAAAACCCTTTCCTAGTACTTGCAAGGCCCTATATTCAGTCAACAGTACTGCAAATAAATAACACTGAAAAAGAAAAATGAAGGAAAACATGAAGGCACCTGGCTTCAGAGAATAACATATTTGTCCCTAAGCACTTAGCACTTCTGGTAGATCGGCACTCAGTTCTACGAACCTCCTTCTGGAATACTAATGTTGAGTATTCTAAAGAGTTAGGTCTATCAAGCCCCCTTTCTGGATAACACAGATACACACAATGACCATTTATGTTCACCTAATACTGGAGGCAGAACTAGTATTGTACTCAAGAACTAAGGACTCTAAGACATGTCAGTCCCTATTAAAAAACAACCAAGAGGGGACCAATCAGAGGTAACAGTGGGGACCAACAGTGGGGACCTGTTACCTTTCCCAAGCATAATTCAAATGCAGATCACAGTGTCCTCACAGCAAACCTTCCCTGAGTGGCAGCCTCCTCTGCAACATACAACCATAGCTGGGGCAGCTGTGAGTCACCAAAATCCTCAAGACGGCTACCGGGCAGCTTCCTTCACCATCTGCCCTCAGAAGTGACAACATCTCAGGGCAGAACAGCCACAGCAGTACACCCAAGGACATTCACACAGCCTAAGGAACGCTTCCTTACTTCTGCAGAAAGCAATGGGAGCTCTGGCTTCTCCCAGTAAAACCCATACTGGAACAAGTGGGTGTCGATGTTTAACTGGAGAGAAGTGTACTAAATCTCTAGAAAGGTTATGTTACCCTGTTTTACAAGAGTACCTCAACATCAAGGGTGCACACCACTGAATACACTTAGAGAGGCGACCCCTTGCCCATCACAGACATGTTCCAAAACCCAGTGGATCTCGAGACCCTGCATGTTCTGCATACATGCCTATGATAGTTCAATCTATAAATCAGGCACCTTAAGACATGAACAATAACTAATAGTAAAAGGTTATAATAATGTGCCAAAATGTAAGTTATATGAATGGGTTCTCATTCTCTCTCTTATCCCATTTCATATTTGGGTCTCAGCTGACTATTGGTAACTGTAACTGCAGAAAATGACACTGGTTACCTGACAAAACCTTCTAATTGGCAGAAATAAAAAACCATAACCTTCGTTTGCCAGAATTCTTCCCCTGGGGATAAATAAACATTGACCCCCTTTTTATAAGGCACTAATGACAAAGTGATGTATGATTCCCTCAAAGTCCAACTGGGGGGAACCAATGAGTTCACTTGGCTTACTTACGGAGCATGGAAGAGTAGGTGACCTCAAAGCATTCTTGGTACCAGAAAATCTCACCCCAGCATGGAAGATGGACTTCCCCTTTCAGTTACCCTTGTACCCTCTATATATGTGCATTTGGGGCAGAGTTAATACAACTAGTCATGCTGGGCATGGTGTTGCATGCCTTTAATCCCAGTTCTTAGGTTCAAAAACATCAGTTAAGGCCAGCCTGGTCTACAAAGTGAAGTTCTAGGACTGCCAGGGTTACACAAAGAATCTCTGCTTCAAACAAACACCTTGCCAGAAGGTGTCAGAGGGCGTGGCTGGGGTCGGAGGGTGTGGCTGGGATCCTAGAAGAGAAATCAATGACCCTCCTCAACCCCTCCTGCATCAACAGGCAATAATCTGCAGAAGAGACTAGCATTGTCTAACACCTGGTGATGGGGAGGGCTAAGGCCACAAAGTTAGGGATGACACAACTTGGAGCCTCGGTGAAGGAAGCAGTGGGCAGATTTGAACCCAAGGGAAAGGCTAGTGAGGGATGCAGTGTTGTGAGCATCCTGTAGATGGGGGTGGGGCAAGCACAAGGGATCCAAGCCACACAGGACTGACGCTCCACCCAACACTGAACTACAGAGATGAGTGGACTGTCTACTGCAGAGATCTCAGACGGCGAGTGAAGGGAACTCTGAAAACTGACTCCTTCTGGCCCTCGTGCAAGCAGGAAGGCTTCCAAACACTAGAGCACAGACACCCTGCCAAGACTCATCCTTGACGTCGGTGCACATTCTGTGTTTCAACATCTACATGTGCCTGAATCTGCCGTGTCTAGCAAAGTGTCCCAGATTACACCCTGGAACAACTTTGCTGAGATCTGCTCCCGAAGACACTCAACCCTGACTCCAGAGCACGGGGAAACACTAGAACATTCTTACTCCAATGCTTTGATAACATACAGCAAGCACACTGTCGGAAACAAACTTGTTGGGAACAACTTTTAACCTAGGCAAAATTAGAAAAGACCTTTTAGCAATTGGTTAGCACTAAACATGCTCTTATTCATTAATTAGTACTCTATACTGCTCAAATACATTAATCCCTCTTTTTTGTGCAGGAGATAGAATCCAAGGCTTTGAACATGCTATATGATTGACACACCCAACCCTTCATCAATTTTACAGTATTTCACTTACACAATGGCCAGCTATTACAAGCAGGCATCTATCCAACAGTCCTACCCAAAGTTTGGGCGTTAAGTCAAGACCTGGTGATCTGAGGCTAAAGAAATCTCACCCAACCATGTGACCTGCAGCCATGTGGAGGAGCAAAAATTCTAAAAGGAAGGCCAAATTAAAAAAAAAAAGTTTGGGAATATATACATAGATACATATTTATAAATGTAAATGTGCAGGCTTTCAGCCTGCATCAAATTAATAATATACTAAAGTAGACAGGGGAAACCTGAGTCACGGTTACGGAGGCACATAGGACTTATGTCTGAAAGGAGTCTAGATGTCACAACAGACTAATTACATCAGGCAGTGTTTCTGCAGGCCCGGGAGGTGGAGAAAAAAAGAGGCGTGCTTAAGAGAGCGAAGTAAAGGATTGCATTTCAAACCTGCCAAGTGAATGAATTCCAGAGAAAGTGATACAATTCTCACACAACACACTTGTTTACTCCTTTAAAGTCTAATTGTCGTGGCCATCGTCCGGCCAAAGGTGAGTGCTTCCTACCTGGCTTCCTTCAATCAAAAGTGAAAGTGCAAAGTTTTTTTCCACCTGGGTCCGAATCCTCATAGCCACGGTTTCGGATCCAAACCAAGAGAACAAACAGATCAACAACCACGGGGTTCTAGGGTACCGCGAATGCCACGCGCCAGCGCGGGACCTAGTCCCTTCTTGCCCCACGGGGAAGCTGTGTCACACCTCTCCATCCACGCCAGTACGTCGGATGGGTGTCCTCACACACAGCCTCAGGACCCACACACTTCCTGCCTCTTCCATCACCTCCAATCGCAACTTCGACTTCCCATTCTGTTTATGACTGCGGTCGGGACTGCAGTTCCAGGGAGGGAAGGAGAGGCACTTTGGAGCTTCAGAGTCGGAAATGGCAAAGGGCAGGCGCAAAGCGCACCATCCCACGTGCGACCCTTGCTGGCCACCTACGGCAGAGGGGACCCGATGCGCTCCCACAGTGCGCGGCTCTGGAGTTGGTGTTCGGATAGGGGACCAGAGTCCCCAAGTCTAGCAGCACTTTTAGCAACCCAGGAGGGCTGGATTCCCGGGACTGCAGCACCAGGGAGCCCGGGCGGCGGAGTGTGCGCCAAGTCGGCGGGGCCAAAGCCCGCGGACTCGGTGGCTCTCGGGTCGGGGTGGGGCGGGGCAAACACTCACCAACCCCGTACTTCTGCCTCTTGGTCGGGATCCAGCGGGCCATGGCGACGACCTCGCCCCGAGGCGCTAGCGGCTGTAGCTACTCGTGCTCCGAGCGCTGCTGCGCCGGTCGGACTCTTCCGCCATATTCCCGCAAAACTTGGGCGACTTCGGCGCGCCGGCCGCGTCTACGCCGCGCCGTCCCGCCTCACTCGCGCTCGGGACCCCACACGCCCGCGCCACCCGCCCGCCCGCGGTCACCTGCTGGGGCCGACGGCCGCGCAGCCCCGCGCGCCCTCCCCGGCGCCGCCCCGGCTCCTCCCGCTGGCCGCGCCCTCTGCGCCCCGGCCGCCCGCCTCCCCCGCCGACTCCGCCTCGTCCACCCCGAGCCACAGCAGACGGCTGGCCGCCTGGTCCTCCCAGGGTCGGCTCTGCGGTCCCAAGCGCTCCCGGGCTGCGCTGAGGCGCGCGGAGGAGGAGGAGCTGGTGAGGGTCACCGATCGCCTCCGGACGCTCAGTAAATATTTGTTGAATGAATGAGCGGTGAGCTACTGCCTTCGCCTCCGGGAGCGTCTGCAGAAGCCGGGAGAGCCGGAAGCCCGGCTTCAAGGCCCGCAGGGAACTAGTGCAAGGGACTCGGGCGCTTCGGAAGTATCCGATCTAGGGGACCTTCCGTTAGGAAACTGTTGACAGAACTCTAATCTGGGAATCCCAAACTCAGGGATTTATTTCTTGCCAGTTGCAATTTCACACTGAGGGAAGGTGTCCGCTCCAAGAGGTCCCTTTCCAAGTGGCCCCCTTCCCAGAAGGCACCCCTGTGGAGATGATCCGGGAACATCCATCCCGGTCTTTCTCCAGACTTGGACTAAGGACTCCAAAAGGCGGCTGTGGAAAAGCACAGGGGTGAGCGTGGCGCCCTCTGCGGGAAGATGCGCTTCCCCCAGAAGAGATCTCCAGAATGAGATAGACTCTACTTTTTTATTACTATAAAACTTCAGACTAAAGGGCCAGTTAGCTTCGCCATCTGAAAACATACTTCTTGCGAGAAATTGTGTTGTTGTTGGAGTCTATGGAGGCTTTCTTTCCAGTTTGGAACCTGACAAGAATAGAACATGAAAAATTAAAACACGCAGTAAAAAACAGACATGCTTGATTAGAGATACGTGAGCCAGCGCTTGTGACTTTTTGCAAACTATGCCTGAATAATTTGCTGGATTTTGTTGTTGTTGTTGTTGTTTGTTTGTTTTTAATCCTGATTTTCCTCTTTAGAAAGTAAGTCCCGAACTTGGAGTCCTGGATGAGAGAAACAAAACAGGTACCTATTAATGGCCGTGCTCCGGCATTCTTTCTTAAAATGTTTCAGTTACATCTCGTTTTAAATGTTATTTTTTTAACTCAGAGTTAAACACGATTACAAAATTTGTCATCATTTGTAGTTTTTATTTATTTATTTTTAGTTCTCTGTGTAATAGTCCTGGCTACCCTGGAACTCACTTTGGATACCAGGCTGGCCTCTAACTCACAGAGATCTGCCTGCCTCTGCCTCTGAAGTGCTGGGATTAAAGGCGAGCGCCATCACCCAACTTTACCTTTGTAATATAAAAGTAAATTTTCATTGTGTACTTAATACTAAATGTTTAAAAAATATAAAATCACCAAAAAAATCTAAACAACAGGAAAGCAACCAAATTACAAACTGAGTTACTGTACTAAACAGAGTTCTGAAAAGAAAAAGTAAAAATGGGTAATAAATACTCAAAAAAATAAAAGAAAGAAAAGTAGGTTCCAATAGGAATCTATTCATAATACACAGCAAAACATATTTCCATCAATGTAGACCTGACATCCACAAAGACACCCACCATCTCCCCAAAATAATTTCTCCTTGGTCAATGACCTCATGATCAACTTAACCACCCGAGCTAGATAGTTTCTTCTTCCTCTATAAGTGGCCTGCTGTGTTTTGGGCACTGGTCCTGGAATGGAGGTTCAGTAGTGAGATACTTGAGACCCCTCCCTGCCTTCTTCACACAGCTGCTGGAGGAAGTAAGACTGGAAGAGATGAATGCATGCCGCAGGAGGTTAGGCTTGCTGAGAAACCCTAGCAAGGAGCACGGGGAGAGTGGGTGCCATGGATTTACAAAGAGGCTTCTGGAAAGACCTCTGAGATAAGAACCCACTGACGGCAGAACTTCAGGAAGTGAGGATGGCCCACAATAAAGGGGAAGTGTTCTGGACGGACGGCCCAGCGAATGCAAAGGCCACTGAGCAGGTCTAACAGGCTCCAAACTGGCAAAGAATTGGAGTAAAAGAGACAGAACTGGAGTGGAAAGGAGGACCATGACCAGGATGAGGACTTGCAAGACGTTCTGGAGGTTTTGAGCTTGGGTTGGTGGGGTACAGACACTGGACGAAGGAGGCGGGCTTCCCAGCCAGGATGGTGGGTGACTGGGAAAGGGCTTGAGTTCTGGACACAAACTGAAGGGAGTGACAACAGGAGAGTGGGAGCCTAGAGGGACTCTACAGGAGGCTTGTCCGCCTCTCTGCCTTACTGTCATGTATTTCTGGAAAAGATCTGACAAAAAGATGTGCTTGTGTCTCGCTTTGGTGTTTCTTATTTTGGGATCTTTCCTCACACTGTATACATGCACGCAGGCACTACAAACCTTGGCTTTGGTGTGTGAGAGGCAAACAAAGTCAGTGATGAATGAATGAGTGACTCCAAGGCTTGAACACCTGGTCAGCACAGCTGCCATTTTTGTTTGTTCATCTGTGGTATCTGCCTTGTTTGTACCTCTGTTTTGGATCAAAGTTTACTTCCTGCCTTTGAATACTTCCTAGGATTTACTTCATCACCCATCCACTGCTCAGCCTCCGCTCGCCCTGCACCTTTAGCAGCTGTCAACCTTGGTCTGGAGCACAGGTCCGGGCTGCTGTGGAGCAGGGGTCGGGGTGGCGCTTCCCAGCGTTTGCCTCAGTCGCCTGCGTGCAGAGAAACGCATGGATGGCCTTTGTTCTTTAGCCCAGTATGTATTTTTACATTTAGTGCACACTAGAGTGTTAGTTCTTTTGAACAAAACCATTCCAGTCGGCTCACTCTTCGTAGTTACAGGCTGTTTCCTAAACTCAGATTTGAATCTGGGCTCTGGAGGTTTCAAGCCTGGCAATGATTGCTTTTAAGAGAGTTGGAGGAAAATGGAGAACTTTCATTACAACTTGCAGTGTGCATGTTCCTTTCCCTCTGCAGACTGAAGCCCACTTCCTTATATCAGATGGTTGTATCCCAGTTTGAAAATCCATTTAGATCATAAAAGCACAGCTATTCAAAGCCTTGTTATTAAAATGAGCCTTAAAGTTAGAGAGTTGACCAGATGGGTAGGTGGAATCACAGCATGTTTCCAGAATTATCCTTTCCTTTTTCCTCTGGTGCCTTTTCAGAAGGAAGAAAAAAAAGAAAAGAAGGGAAAACATATTCCACAATTACAGATATTTAGATTCCAAAGCCCATATGAATACCAGCACCTCATGCACAGAAGAATGCTCGCATCTGTGCTTGCAGGAGCTCCAGAGAAAGAAGCAAGGAGAAATGAATTTCTAGGTTAGCATGATTGGCCTGAATTCTGGAGCTATCCCCGACAGTACCTAATATAGAACAGCAAGACAGCTCTACTTTCCCTATTGATCGGTTTTACTTTACCAAGTCTGCCTGACACAACTTTCTTAGAAGAGTATATAAAGTCTGTTAAGGACAGTTTTGTGGGAATAATGAAGTAAGTTCCTGCTAGAACTACACAAAATAATAAGGAATACAAATGATTGTTGAAGGGGTGATGGAGGTGGGAATGGTGCACACCTTTAGTCCCAGCACTAGGGAACAGGGCTAAGAGGGTCTCCATCAGTTCTGGGTCAGCCTGCTATACAGAGTTAGTTCCAGAACAGCCAGGGCTACACAGAGGAACCCTGTTTCAAAAGAACAAAACTAACTAAATAAAAATAAATGATTATTCGTTCTAAGCCGAGATCTGTGGGTGTTTACAGGCCAATGCTATGAAGTGGGTCATGCCTTGGAATTTGGGACCCCTGAGCTGAGCAGGGCAACGAATCTCATCTTTTTGAGCCTCAGAAACATTCTCATACACTCACATCATTCTCTACTCTGTCCCTGCAAGTGGTGCAGACACTGAACATCACTGGATCCGTCCTTAGCTTGGCTACCTGGCTTTGTGGGAGACATGGACCTGACGGTTAGAGAGAGAATGATCTTGTTTTTATGCCATTCCTCTCTGATCCCCCTGGTGGGAATGTTTATGCTTCGTCAGCACTGTAACCTCTTACACAACAAAGCAGGACACTTTTGGTTTTACTTCTAGGGTGCTCTTTGTTGTAAGCATCTACATTACTTGAGGCCAACTCGGGAAGGAGATTGATGAACATTGAGGAATAGTTGGTGGTCTGGGGAAATAGCTCAGTGGGTAAAGTGTTTAAAGTGAGTAAGTGTTTAAAGTGAGAAAGAGTGAAGGACTGAGTTTGAATTCCCAAGCCTGATGGTGTGCTGTAATCCTAAAGCTTCTACAGAGGAATATGTCAACGGTGGTGTGCTGTAATCCCAGGGTCTCTATAGGGGGAACATGGCATGTGGTATGCTGTAATCCCAGGTAATGGCAAGTAAATCGATGTGGAGTTTGTTAGTAAATCTGCTCCTAGGAGACAGACCTTGCTCCCGGATGCTCTCCGAGACCCGAAGGGGCTTCGGACTGGAACCCTTTCCTTTTCACTAGTCAAGTCTGAACCTGCGACCACTCCCAAAAGGTGTGGTCAGTGCTACAGGTGTGGAACCAGATCTATCACTATAGGGGGACATGGCATGGGGGTGTGCTGTAATCCCAGAGTCTCTGTAATGAGATGGGAGATGGCTCCCCTGAAGCTTGAAGGCCAGTTAGCAGAAATCGACAAGAGATCCAGTTTAAACAAGGTATAAGGTGAAGACAATCAAAGTTCTCTTTTGACATTCGTGTGTGAGTGCTGATACACACCAGCACTCACACACAAGTGTGTACACACACATAAACACATACACAGATTTTTCAGTTAATCATTAGTTTGTTGAAAACTATAATAGATGTACAGTCATGTGATGGATGAAAGCTCTTTGATTAAAAAGTAACTCTATATCATTTTTAAATATTATGTATAGTTTTTGAAAGGTCCATGTATGTACATAAACAATTACCTTCATAAAGCTTAGCATAGTCATACATAGCTGTAATCGTAGCATTCAGGAGACAGAGGTAGAAGCATCAGGAGTTCAAGGCCAGCCAAGGATACATGAGACCCAGTTTCAAAAAGCAAAATTAGGAGCTGGAGAGATGTTTCTGTGGCCAAGAGCACTCACCACTCTTGCAGAGGGCCCAGGTTCTCGTCCCAGCCACACATGGCAGCTCTCAGCCACATGTTGTGACATCCTTGACTCACCTTTGTGGGTTCCTGCATGCATGCGGTGCGTACATACTTAGGCTGGCACACGCATAACATAAAATAATAAATAAATGTTTTAAAACAAACAGACGGTTCAAACAAGATAATGATGAAAATTCAGACATATTATGGAAGACTCATGGGCTATGAGCACAAGCTGGAAATCGTCTGCTTACCCTTGACCTTTGTCAATGGTAGGAGCGAAGGCTCACCAGCAGTTCTTAGTCCCAGTGACACTTGGACTATATTGTCTCATTGACTGTCACATTCAGCAGATTTTTTTTCTTCCTGTCACTCTGTCAAGAAAACAAACGCTTGGTCTAGAATTTTTAGTGTCAGAACAACTTCAATTTCTATGCTTGACAGTTATGAAGTAATGAGGAAAGTGTGTGGCCAAGCATATACCTGGCTTTCTTATCCCAGTGCCTTCCTGTGAGGTGAATATAACTCTTGTCATCTTTACCTTACAAATATGGAAATGGTGGTCTAGAAGATGTAAGAAATTGCCTGCAGTTAATTACTGTCAGACAGAAGTAAATCCAGACCAAGCAGTCTGCTTCTGGGGGAAACCAGAAGTCTTTGCTCTTTTTCTGGAAAGTTCTGCGTGTGTGTGTGTGTGCGCGCGCGCGCGCGCGCGCGCGCGCGTGCATGCGCGTGCGCACGTGCTCGCACCTTTGTTGATCAGAGAGATTTTGTTGTTTTTGTTTGTTGTTGTTTTTTCTCTATGTATCCCTGGCTATCCTGGAACTGGCACTGTAGACCAGGCTGGTCTCGAACTCACATCAATCCACCTACTTCTGACTCCTAAGTGCTGGGATTAAATTTGCAACTGCTACCTGGCAACCATAGGGACTTTGCTGCAATGACTTGATTGTGTGGTTAGAGCAGGAAAGCAGTCACAATCAATATATAACTGAATGTGTACAGCTGAGCTCCAATAAAACCTTATTTGTATCTAAAATTCACATAATTTTCATTTGCATGAATATCCTTCTTTGGATTTTTATTCCTAGTCATTTAGGAAAGTGGAAGGCATTTATAACTCGAGGTTGTATAAAACCAGCAGATAAACTGACTTGGCCTGCAGGTTTTAGTTTGTCAACTCCCACAGCCACACCCTAAAACAAACCAGGACTGCCAACCTTTAGGTGGGCAGGAGGGCTGGGACATCCAGGAGGAATAGAACGACAAAGGAGGCCTGTGCTGGAACTTTCTCACTGGAAGTATTTGTATGAGGGTCTGGGAGAAAAGGATCCTAAGCTGTAAGAGTTGGGTTATAAATCACCTGACAGGGTCTCTGGAGAAGGTGATGCCTGTGTAATTCCAGCACTTGGCAGGTGGAGGCAGGAGAGTCGAAAGTTCCAGGGTGTAACAAAACCCTTTCTCAGAGAGACAGACAGAGAAGGTAGGGTGGTGGTGTTGGGGCTGGGCAGAGAACAGTGAGAATCCATTTTGTATTTGTTTTTATTATCTTCTGACCAAGCCACTTTGAAGTCTATACTGAATGATAGGAACTATAGATCAAAACCCAAACCTCTGTGAGACACTGGCACACGAGAGTGCTTTAGTAGCCACAGCAGACACCCCCAGAGGGGACAGGAGCATCTCTGTGGATGCCCCCCCACTGCAACCCAAAATAAGAGGCTGGTGTTAGAAGGAAATGTCACAGTACCCCTGAGGAGACTCGAAAGGTCAGATGGATGGTGTTGGTATGGCCTGTTTAAGATTAGGGCAGAAGAAAATCAAATACCCAGAATGCTTTGTGAGCCTTGAGGATAATGGCTTGAGGCCCTCCAGAAATACCTGAAGGGGCTTGGAAGGCAGAAGGGGAGCTCTTATCAACTGGACTGAAAAGGCTACTTGGTACCCCACCTGCTCGTTATCCCTAAAATCCATGTTTTTGAATGTCATTCTTTGATTGGGTAGAATTGTTACAGACACAATAAAAGTGACTCAGAGCTTTAGGGGCTGTTAATTTGCACAGCAAGAGTTTGAATTCCCTTATCTTGGAAGGTGTTCTTTGAAACTGTGCGCTTGCAAAAACCCTTCAATAGTGTAAACTAGACCAAGGTTAGGATGCAGGCAATGCTAGGACAGTAAAGATCCTCTGCC